AAAAAGATCTTCAGTGTGCGTTTATAAAGCGTTTGGGTCTTTAATAAGGAAAATATCGTCGGTCAAAGAACGTGAACACTGAAAAACTGCTTAAAATGGGCCGAAAATCACGATTATTTCGAGTATTTTTCAATGATCTCGTTGCATTCGTCTCTTCATTGAGGTGATAATAATGAATAAGAAAATTCAAATCAAATCATTCAAAAATGTACATGCGTGTTTTTTGAGTTCAATGAATAGCTTTCGACCTAAAAAGATCTTCAGTGTACATTTATAAAGCGTTCGCGCATATAATAAGGAAAATATCGTCGGTTAAAGAACGTAAACACTAAAAAACCACTGAAAGTGGGCTGAAAATGTCTATCATTTCGGATATCCCTATCTATGCCTGAGGATGTTGGATTTCTCGCTTCCTCCTTGCAATCAAAATTGTACCTAGTGGCTCGAAGATCACTTGAAGAACCGGGATCTTTTGCTTGAAAGCCCTTAAAAGGGACCTTTTAAGCGCCTTGGTTGATACCAGCTATATAAATCTTAGTCTCACGTGGGTACATGCGAGATCTTCATCTTATAATGCACCTACTATGCTTTTCGAGTTCCACCCTAGTAAGCGATTGAGAGGATATAGAGCAGGGTGGGATCACCCTGTGTATGCGTCGAAACTTTTGCAAATAGACGCGTGTGTGTGTGACAGTTTTTTCGGAAAAAACGACTAGGTGGAGGAAGAGGCGTGGCCGAAATGGATCGGGCGACGTCACGACGGCCCCCCCCCCGAAAAAAAGAGAAGAAGAAATGCCAGCGCGAAATGTATATGCGACTGCTTTTTTAAAAACAAATCAAAATAACATTTTTTGCATCGACACAAAAGTCGTATATATCCCGCATTTTTCCATTGCGCCACGGCTATAAATCACCAAACAAACTTATTTGAAAAATAAAAATGAATTTTTAGTTCTCGATTTCCATTTAGAATGTCGGCCCGTACATATTGTAATTAAAAATGGGAAATGTTTCCCGTTTTTTATATCGGTATCGGCTCAACGTGAACAAAGCAACGAAAAACGGGCCTGCACACACACACACACACACACACGACGAACGTAAAAAAAGCAAGAAAACGTCCAAACTAACTGTACGAGGCCCGCGTATGTTTCAATCGGAAAACATGTATATATGCAAGTAAATTTACCAATATTGATTTTTAATAACATTGATAGTTTTTTTCTGTTCCTTTTTCCGCGATGAGGAGAGGGACGTTGGTTGTGTGCGCCTCGTGCATTTTACTTTATCAACTCAGCCATGCCCCGGTGCATATGCATGTCCATCTCCCTGTGAAAAAATGCCTTCGTTTGTTGGAGTTTAATTTAGACTCTCGGTAGGTATCGGCATGGCCGTCCGCAAATATGAATTTGCATTTTTATGGGCTCTATTTTAAATAAAAAACATCCCATTCGTTCCATCGTGTTGGCGCACATTTTTTCCATCGGATCATGCACTGGGTAAGGTGAGCGGTGTAAACATCGTCATTACATTAGTGGAGAACAACGCGATTTTTACGTTTTATTTCCAGTTTTATCGGTATTGGAGGGTTTCCATTGTGGACCGACCGGGGAGGGTTTACACTTTTCTCTCAGAATAAGGTGGCAGTGGATGAGCTTTTGTGACCTCTTTTTCTTCTTGTGATGACGATACTCTCTTTCGGTCGCAAATGGATCAGCAAATTCTCTCTAATTGGCAGCCTTCGTAGGGTATGCAACTCTTTTCTTCTTCAACTGTTCGACGTTTCGACACAACAGATCTTATTAACCGCTTTCTAATAATTTAGAAGCAGCCTGTACGGAATATCAATTTGCTGATGAATTAACAGTCATCGAACGATCGGATATTGTTAAACAGTGAATTGTATATAGAAGAAGAACAAATGGGCCATTCTATTTGTGTGCGCACTTTCTTCCATCATAATGCCATAGAACAGTTAACAACTAGGTATCAGCGGCAATCTAGAAAACATTAAAAGTCTATTATTTAAAATTTATTTTGCATACAATGAAGGTACGTAAACGGAATTCTTTTGTTGTTTTAAACATTTTATTAGCGGCACCGTGATATTTACTTTTCGTTATTTCCTTCTTGTTCTGCCAATGATGTTGCCCGTTTTGTCTGTGTGTGTGTGTGAACATGCACGGATTTTTATTGTTCGTTTGGTTCGGCATATAGAAGGGAGTTAAATAAATAAGTTTCCAAGACAAGACCCCCCGACAAGAGGCAAGCAGCAGCTTAATATAGAATTAGCGTCTGTACTATTGCAGGCAAAGTACTTTAAACAGAAATGTTAATATTGAACAATACATTCACGGCACCATTTCTCAGGCCATTCTGGAACAATTGAATTATTTACCAAACGGATTGGCATAGAAGAGCGAACTCTATTCAAATTGCACCTTAAATATTGCATAAATGAAGCGAAATAATTCATAAGTTTGTAGTCTGCCACGTTTAGGGTTATTTACAATGCACAAGGAAATATTTATGATCCGTCGTTCTTTACGAAGGATTGCTTGTGTTGTCTTGCTCTAAACTTTGATTCTTACATTAACTATTCAGCGGCCGGCGTGTAAAGTAGATCCCTGGCATGAAACTTTGATGTTGCCAGGATTGTCCAGAAATGGATCGCTTATTTGTCCGAGGAGATGGATGGAAATCCATCCCCATCCATAAAAGATGTACGGTTTAAGTTGTGTATAGAAGTAACGGCAGCGATAAGGGTGTTGCCACTATTGCCCAAGACGTAATAACACTAATCCCGGCATGGGTTCGACGCGGCGCTCATTTCTTATTTACTTGCTTAGAAAATAACAATTTCCTGCGCGTGATTTTCAGGAAATTCCCGAACAAAATGGCACGTTAGAGCTGAGTGACTCAACTATGAAACCCTTTAGATTTGTTGTCGTCAACCATTGCCCTTCTGGCCGAATAAAATGGGAAAACTGCAACTTCTCACTTGCTCCGGCTCGCAAACAATCGCGGGGAAAATTATGAAAAGAAGGCAAAAGCGAGGAAATAACTTTTCTTAATTAAATTAAAACCGAGATATTTCAGTCTGCCGGACTCGCACAGCAAAACGAGCACAACGAATTAATTAAAGAAAAACGCTCTTCCGTCCGAGTTATATATTATAATCGTTAATAACAAAAATGTAATTTATCGATTGCTGGGGCCCTTCTTTATCGCAGAACTTTATTATGCATCGTCGAAAGTTTTTCCGCACTTTCCCAGCCAGCTCTCATGCCTCATGCCTAATGAACGGTTCAGGATCGGGATCTGGATATTTCAGCCAAACTTTTCCGGTGCCTTTAACCACTGGAATCACTTGAATTTGTCCAGTTTTTGGCCATTTTTGTTCAGTCAAAGGGTGCAAAGTGGGGTTTTGTACGTGTTTTGCTCGCTCGTCGCCTTTGAATGAGAAAACGACTTTAGTCCAGTCCTGTTGCGCGGTCGCCTTATTGGCAACCGAAAGAAAAACTTTGGGAATCCGAAATCGCTAATGGAAACACACAAAAATACATTTACGCTTTTCTGTTTCCTACGT